CCGCCGCGCCCGAAGCTTCGCGTCCGCAGCCGGCGCTTCCGCCGCCGCGATGTCGCGACGCCGCTCCTCGCCGCGAGAGGGCGCTGCGGGAGCGAGAAGCGGCGGAACAGCTAGGGCTGCCTGTCAGGGAGGCGGGCCGGCGGGCGCGGCGTCCCCAATCGTGCTGAGACCAATCGGAACGGAGCCGAGAGGCAGCGATCCACACGGGGGCGGGGACCGAGCCAAGTTCTGAGGCCTCGGAGTTTAAACTCCTTGGGGGCGAGCAAGGCGAAGCTAACCGGTAGACGTACACCGCAGACCACAGCAAAGGGGCGACCTCGGGTAAGACAAGGAAGGAACTGTAAGAAACTGAGGGCTCAGACGCGACGCTCCCAAGCGTCCAGGTGGCAGAGGCTGGCCCAGTGGACAATCAGACGTATGTGATGGGCGTTCCGAAGGGAATGGCAAACAGGCAAAGGATTTGAACAGACTTACCTCCAAAGAAAATATACAAACGGCCAACACACTCAGAGATGCTCCACTCTGGGGATATGAACCCAACCTCCTGGGGGTACCACTTCACACCCACTAGGCTGAACAAAGCAAACCCACTGCAACCAAGGTGGTTCCAACTCACAGGGACCCCGCTAGACAGTAGAACTGCCCCAGAGGGTTCCCAAGGCTGGAAATCTTAACAGAAGCAGCAGAGTGGCTGGTGGGTTCAAATGACCACCTTTTGGTTAGCAGCCCAATGTTTTAGCAGAGCTCAAGTCACCAGGGTGCTAGGCTATAACCAAAAAGACTGGCAGAATTGCGTGATTGTCCAGCGGATTTTTTGGGGAAAAAATCCCATTAAAAATTCTTTGTTCCCTTCATCCCCCAAAAAAGAAGCAACAGTGTTGGTGAGGATGTGGAAATTGGAATGCTCATCCATTGATGGTTCTCGTGTTAGATGCCATCGAGTCATCTGCAACTCACAGCGACCTCATGCACAGCAGAACGGAACACTGCCCAGTCCCGCACCAGTCCCACGACCTTTGCTATACTTAAGCCCTCACTGCTGCCACTGTGTCGATCCATCTTGTCGGAGGCCTTCCCCTCTTTCGTCGACCCACCACCTCACCAAGTGTGACATCTTTCTGCAGGGAATGGTCCCTTCTGACAACATGACCAAAGTAGGTGAGATGAAGTCTGTCCATTCTTGCTTCCAAGGAACACTCCGGCTGCATTTCCTCAAGGACAGATCTGTTAGTTCTTTTAGCAGTCCATGGTACTTTCAGCATTCTTCACCAGCACCACAACTCAAAAGCATCAACTCTTCTTCGGTCTTCCTTATTCATTGTCCAGCTCTCGCATGCGTATGAGGAAACTGAAAATACCATGGCTTGTGTCAAGCACACCTTAGTCCTCAAGGAGTCATCTTTACTCCTCAGCACTTGAAAGAGGTCTTTTGCAGTGACTTGTCCAGTGCTACAAGTCATCTTATGTCCTGACTGCTGCTTCCATTGGCATCAATTACAGAACCAAGCAATGTGAAGTCCTTGACAACTTCAATCTTTTCTCCATTTATCGTGATGCTGCTTATAGGTCCAGTTGTGAGGATTTGTTTTCTTTATACTGAGATGTAATCCATGCTGCAGACTGTAGTCTTCAATCTTCATCAGTAAGTGCTTCAAGTCATCCTCACTTTCAGCAAGCAAAGTTGTGTCATCAGCGTATCGCAGGTTGTTAATGCTTCTTCCTCCAATCTTGATGCCATGTTCTTCTTTCTTTAGTCCAGCTTCTCGGGTTATTTGCTCAGCATATAGATTGAATAAGTATGGTGAAAGGACCCACCCCTTACGCACCCATGCAATGTCCCCTTGGTTCTGTTTGAATGACAGCCTCCTGGTCTATGTACAGGTTCCTCATGAGTACAATTAAGTGTCCTGGAATTCCCATTCTTCTCAATGTTATCCACAATTTGTTATGATGCACACAATCAAATGCTTTTGCGCAGTCACTGATGGTGGGAAAGTAAAAATGCATACAAAACAATGAAAGTGAAAGCACACACTATGGAAATGGTCTGATGGTTCCCCAAAAAGTTAAACATACGGTTACCATATGACCCAGCAATTCCACTCCAAATGACAGTCAAGAGAATGGAAAATATCCATGCACACAGAAACTGGCACATGAATGTTCTTAGCATGTTCATAATAACCCAACACTGGAAACAAACCAAATGTGTATTAACTGATAAATGGATACATGCAGTCCATCCACACAACGTAGCACGGTTGTTGGGTGATGTCAAGTGGATTCCAACTCATACCCCATGTGCGTGACAGAGCTGCCCCACAGGGTTTTCTTGGCTGTAATCTTTACAGGAGCAGATTGCCAGAGCAGAGCTCCTCGTTGAGTTCAAACTGCCAACCTTTCTGTTGCCAGCCAAGCATTTAACCATTACATACCACCAGGGCTCCCAATGGAGTATTATTCAGCCATGAAAAGAAAAAAAAAAGGGGGGGGGAATGATGTTCTGATACAAGGTACAACATGCTATGACATGGGTAATGGATGAATCTGGAAACCGATGCTGACGCCAGACACAAAGACTACATACTGCATGGATCCAGTCCATGAAACGTGCAGGACAAGCAAATCCATAGAAGTAGAAAGCAAACTAGAGGTTGCCAGGAAATGGGCCTGTGGTAGTTCAGTTTGTGGGTCAATTCGGCTGGGCCTGGTTGAGTGGCTGGGCAGCTGGATGTAGTATTCCCCATGATGAGACTGGTAATCAATTCCATGGTGGATCTACTGTGAGCAGCTGAGTAGTTGCTTTTGGGATGTGCTCTGCTTCCTGTATATAAGCAGAAGCCTTGGGGAATGGTCTCTAGCACATGACACGCTTGGACCCTGCATGTAGCCATGTCATTATTCAGCAGCCTGTCATGCTCTGCCGACCTTGGGACTTAAAATGGACTTAAGTTAATGGCCTGCCATGTGGTTTGGTAACATC